GGGAAGCCGAACTACTTTCCCGCCGTCCGTAGCGCCACGCTACGGAGAGATTTCTATCGTCTGGACAGTATTATATAAATTATATATAAATTAGGTACTGTACATATAATTATATATTAATTATATATAAATTAGGTACTGTATATATAATTATATATTAACTTATTGTAACTTTGTTATAATTAAATATATAATTTCCGCCGTCTAGCGTGGCGCCACGCTACGGAGATTTTTACGCTAACTATCGTCTGTCAGTATGTAAATTAGGTACCGTAAGTCTAATACAGTACTGTAATTTTATACATTTCTTGTGAAAGAAACATTTCTTATTCAACGGCGATTAAAATTATTTATATTAATGATGTCTCCGAAGTTCTACGAAGTTTTCACAGAAAAATAAGTTGTTAGAAATCGGCCGCTCTTTGCTGAGCTGTTCCGCGACGAAAACAATGTTGAGCAATGGCAATGTCGAATGGTGACACTCGGTAAGTAATCCTACAATTTTTTGTTTATAGCGTAGTTTATACGGATTATTCCCAAAAAATATATACGTATTTTGGAAATGTTGAGTCGGATTAGTCTAGAATCGATTAATTTTATGGAAGAAAATCTTTCAAACAGCCGTAGTCCGTAAACTTGATACGTGTCGGGTTGTGATTGGAAGGATTCGTAAGAAAGCGGATTCCTAGAGAATGGAACGTATCTCTATCTTATAGGGGGGTCGACTGTAATTAATTGGACCTTCTACTCTTAAGGTTTCCATATGTGGTCTCGTCTTTCATCTAACTCCATTCTCGAGACTAAGGAAAGACAGACAGACAGACAATAGTGGGAATTTATAGGTCTACAATTTTTTAAAATTGCAGCCCCATTACATAGACCCATGCTTCTGTCTCATCATGAGTTCTCAATCCATACTGCTGTTTTATTATCCCTTCAGGGGCTCTAGTCTGCTATGTGAGATCTACTTGCGAGATACTACTCGTGATGCCTGATGGGATAGGTGTGTCATCTCACTATAACTTCTTATTGTAGCAGAGTCTGTAGCATGAGAAGTAACTTTCCGAGCATCACATGATTATCCTTTACATTTGACTATTCTCACCTTCTCACTACATAATGAAAACAACTCATGACCATTTGCTAACCTAACCACTAGTCTTTCCAGATGATTTCTTTTTCATCAATGCTTTCTGTTTCACATTATATTTCAAATTAATCCATATCTATGAAAAAGTTTCATAAATTAAATCATTTAGTTGTAGACTATTGATAAACCTGTTATATTTTCATTTGATACAAACACATTTTTAATATAACTTTTTAAATTAATTTTTAAGTATGCTTACAAAAGATTTAATTGTACATTATAAGAGGATTTTTTTATGATTTGTAGTTTTTCCTAGTTTACTATTAAATATTTCAATATTTAAAATTCTATGCTGTATATTAATGTACAAACATTACTCATTAATTTAATTTTAATTATTAATATAATGTTCCAATGAGCTATATTTTTATTGATCTACAAAAATATATACTGTATGTAACTAAATTTAATAGACTATAGTTATAATATAAAAAATCATACTAATTTTCTTGTAATAAACCAATTCATTCTGAAAACTGCCAATTACATTATTTAAAACAAACAAATATAATTTATCATTACTTTTCTCTATTTATCAGTAGTTTTAGAGGACCAATGCCATCCAATTGAAATACTCCCATAATTTTACCTATCTTTTGCTCTAAATCAAATAAAAATATGATATCTGAAAAATCTGATATGTTCATCCAAAAAATTAATCATTAGAGGTGCCTCACTGTTACTAGCTTTTCCACCATATTACTAAACAAGTCCACTTGGACCTCCTTCTGTTTGTATTATGCTTTCCTATGGCAAATGTTCTTTAGCCTGAAACCAGTAACTTTATAGTCACAAATTCCATGTTACTGAGTGGACTTGCAAACTAGTTGATGTTTGACTTCAACTTACGATAGTGAGTTGAGTCAACTGTGACATCATCAAATGTCACTCAACAACTTCTCACATAACAGATTAGAGTCAGTAATTAACATTGCTTCTTCTAATAATTTTGCAAATATTGTGTTTCTTCAAGTGCATATCATATACATACAACTTTTTTGACAGATAATAGGCTATGATACAATTCCAAATGATTTTTTTTTAAGAAGGGGCTAGGCTATATGACCAGTCCCAAACCCCCTCCCGCCGTTGTACTGACTTAGGGTGTGACTATGCAGACACGAGCAAGTGAGAAGAGGTGATGTTTCTTGTTCTCGTTAAGTACAGTATAAGTACACTGATGTGAGTGAATGGGAGAAAGTGATATGGAAATAATGATGTCATGTTTGCATTGAACTCATTACAGGTAAGCATGAATGTATGGAAGTAAAAATCAAAATGGTTTGACTACAATTCTTACTACTAGCAAAGAAAAAACTTTTGTAATTAGGATTACAGTATTTCATAGTGAACACACAAAAAGAAAACAAAAATTTGGTGTTCCTCCTATCTGGAATCAGCAAAAGGATAAAGAACTTTATTATAATTTGTTAATTAAACAGAATATGACTTTATGTTATATCTGTAGTTTATATGACTAATCAGTTTTGATATAAACTGATATAAACTATAAATCAGGGATGTCCAACCCGCGGCCCACTGCACTCTAAAATTTTTAGGTACATTTTCACTTATTTTGGTAAAGTACATCATAAAAATTATTCTTGTTTCACTGGATACACTTTGATATCGTAATGACATAATTGGTAATAACATACTGTTGTAAACAATTCTTTTCATGCATGAAAAACATCAAAACTGCTAAAAGAAATAAGTTTAGTAATTCTCATTTAACTAACATTCTTAGAATTAAGACTAGTGCCATAAAAGCAAATATTGACAATATTATAAAAGGAAGGCAATGTCAAAAATCACATTTAATAATACAATACTTTTTGTAATTATATATATTTGTTATTAAAATTTGATATTCAAATTTTGAACTTTTTAAAAGCATATATTTATATAAAGTACCTTTGTGGCCTGCTGAATGTACCTAAATTTCTAATTTGGCCCATTAGGAAAAAAGGTTGGACAACCCTGCTATAAACTGTCATATGACTTTATGTATATCTATATTTTGAAAAAAAAATCTCTTTATATATACAGTAGATGAAAGATACAAGAAGCCATTTTCTACTCATGCTAAAGTGCATATGAGGTATTCAGCAAGAAGAGGCAAGATGCAATAAGTATCAAACTTGTCAGATATTTGTAAGAGCCAGAAAATCACTGGTGCCAGCAAGATTCCTCACTTCTCGCTCATGCATGGTTTTCCTTTACAAGAACTATACTGCTCACAACCTCTTGCTCGCTACTAGATTCATGTCTGTATAGTCACACCCTTACCTTTACTTTTACTCCCTTCAATTGGGCTATGTGGTTTGTGAACATTTCCTAAAGAGAACTACAGAATTATCTTTATGGAAAGATAAGCATATACATATAAGATAAAATTTTCACATATGTAGAAATCTGTCAATTTTATTTTATCCAGCAATTATTTTGAACTTTTGATTTTATTATTAGTTATAAGAAGTTAAGAAATTAGAAAGAATGCATTTAAAATAAAGCAAAAAGCTTCAAATGCCCAATACCATGCATAAATTACACATATTTTCCATATATTTAAATAAAGGTATGATCAACAACAGAAATATAAATCAATAATTAATGACACAAAATTATTAATGCTGAAAAACTGGCTATAAATATGGAGAGAACCATACATCAGTCAATCTACATATAGTTAGTTTGACAATGATTTTGCTGAGGCATGCCTTGGTGAAGGCTGAAAACATTCAGAGTTTTTGTTAAAGTTCTGATACTGGTATTTAAAGGTTTTGTTTTTATTTGATTATTCAATACTGTTAGAGGTTTATTTCAGTTTAAAAAACATTAATATTTTGATTTTATCTATCATATCATTTTATAGATAATATGCAAACTAACATAGTAGTTGAAAATGGATTACTTTAAAACTAAAATCAAACACTTAAATATACAAAATATGTTTACTACTTTAATTGATATTAAATAATATATTCACTAAATGTAATTCAATAGAATACTTTTGTCAGATTTAAATAATTTTTGAAAAATTCCAAAGTGAGCATTAATGCTTACTGAAGATATCTTTTTGTAACTTTTTCTTTGCTTTCAGTTAGTGATTATATTATGCAATATCAGTTAAATGATGATAAAACTTTACATATTCAATAAAGATTAATGATCTTAAAAAATCAAACTGATTTTTTTTCTTTTCTTTGAATGAATTTTTTTTAATGCAAATCTCTTAAAATAATCCATTGCACTTTCAATTCTCTCCAGTGATTATAAAGTTAAAATTATAAATATGCAATGTGTTCATTTTAAAAATGCAACTCTTATTTCTCATTTTATGTATGCAGCCCGTACATGTTTTTGTTACTTCATACAAGAAGTCGATTAAATTTGACCGACGACATATCACTTTATATAGTTGGACAGTTTGAACATGGAAAAATAGTCATTATATACTATGCTAGAGAATAATTTTTTCTTCTAATCTAAAATGCTTACTCTTACAAAAAAAATTTTTTTTGTGAAGCATTATTATTTTTATTAAAAAATTAGTGTCAAGAAGTATTCTAAAATGATACTAAGAAATAAAATATTAATTTATTGCATCAAGTTTGGGGAGAGGTTTTTAATCTTATACAGAATCAAGTTATCATTGCACCATCCCAAAAATGACAATGTATCTTACGTATTATACTTCAACTTCTTTGTTTTGAATTTCAATATTTTTTATTATAATCATTATTTCAAAACAAAACTTTAGCTACATTTTAAAATGAACACCTTGTATTATATAGAACTATCATGTAATTTTAATATGTGAAACAGACATTAAAAATTTTATATTTACTTCTCTTTTGAATTTACTATTCAGCAATAAAATTCCACACATATATCCGGCCCGACCAACTAACAGTTCATCAGAACCGTGACCAAAAAAATTAATAGGCAGACAAACATCAACTAAGCTAGCATATTTCTCTAATAACTGCAAACATTCCTTCTCTCTTCCTAATTCAGCCATAATTAAAGCAGCAACAGCATATACTCCAGATGCTCCTAAAAGAAAACCGACTTTATCCCTCCTACTTGACTTTTCGGCGTAGGATAAAGACGGATATAAATAACTTTCTGCAGATTTTAATAATTCATTTTTTCTATCGGCAAAATGAGGTAGAGTGGATATGTAATAGTTCATGTACGCAACTCCAGCGATTCCTACGTATAATCCTCCATCGCAATCCGATGGAGATTTGCCTTGTCTGCTAGCGATGCAATTGATAACATCCCAACACCACTTCTCGATTTGACTTTTTGGAATCGCTTCGCCTCCCGGATAATCGGGTAGATTATTTATAAAATATCTTTTTGCCTGTGCCATGCTGTTAAAGCTTCTGAAAAAATTACTTGCTGTTCTTAATTTCCGTGTTAATAGTTTTATCATATGACAGCGCTTCACCAGCGATAGGCTATTTTCAAACACAGTCTGCTCTGTGACGATTTAAAATACAATAATACGATTTATATGATGGTGGTTAGTGTTGCCAGATGAATAAAATAATACACACTTATTAGAAAATTTAAAAAATATTTTAGACGTAAGCGTCTATAAATATACAGTAAATTAAGAAATTATAAATAATACTTAGTCCTTGTTAGAATATACTACATAGAGTGGCTGTGACCTAGAAAGCCTATAATGAGAGAGTGGTCATACAGATAAGCGCCGCCATTTTTTCCAAACTGCTTATTTAGCCGCAGCCCAAGGACTATATATACTGTATAGTCCTTGGCTGCAGCCACATGCTATACTTGGGGAAATAGAAATAATATAGCACTTATTTAAATGGAAATTCGGACAAAAGAAAATAGATGTAGTTTCCGATTTTCAGAATTAATTTTTACTTTTATTATTTGTTTAGTTAAATTAATTAATATACCATTTAATAATTTTTGGAATTTATGATCATCATTTACCCGACGCGATGAGTGACGAGCCAATTCTTTTATTTTATTTTTTTAATATCCTGAATGCTAATAATTAAGGTTGTATTATGTTACGTTCTAAAAATAGATTAAATAAACGTGACAAAATGATACGAAACGTCTCGGAGAACAAAAATATATATCCCGTCCCGCTTATTTACCGGGTAAACTAATGCCATTTTTAAAATTATAAAAGAAATTATAGTTTTTTTCATTTAAATTGTTACCTTTTATATAATTTTTATTTGTACAGAAATATAAATTATAAAGATTTGAACTTCTTCTTCTTCATCTTTGCCTTTTTTCCATGTTTATATGGAGTCGGCATTTCCTTCTCTAATACGTTTTTTCCATGTCTCCCTATTCTTCTTTCTTAAGTCCCCTCTGGTTCAAGTCTTCTTCCACCTTATCTTTCCAACGCATTTTTGGTCTTCCTCTTTTCCTCTTTCCTTTTACTATCAGTTTTCCGATCTTCTTTCCAACATACTCGTAACTGTCACTTCTTCGTTCTAAGTGGCCAAACCACCTCAACCTACATTCTTGCATTTTTTTTTGCTCAAGAGGCCCACCTCAACAGAATATCTAATAAAATCATTCCTTATTCTATCCTTCCTTGACACTCCACACTTCCTTCTCAACGTTCTCATCTCCGCCATCTCTATCTTTCTTTCTTCGGCTCTTGTTATTGCCCATGTCTCAGCTCCATATAACATTGCAGGTCTAACAACTGATTTATACAATTTTCCTTTCAGATTGCAGCTAACTTTCTTGTCGCATAACACATCGCTCATCTTCCTCCAGTTCATCCATCCACATTGAATTCTATACTGCACCTCCGAGTTCAATTCTCCTCCCTCTTGACAAATGTCCCAAGATATGTAAAACTCGGAACAAAAGGGAGCGACACATTTTGGATTTTAATATTACACTCGTCTCTACTATTTAGAGCGATATAAGCGGTTTTAGTTCTGCTAATCTTCATGCCCCTTCTTCCAAAACTTTCCTCCAATCTTCCGGTTTCTTCTCACCCTTGGTTTGGGAAAGTTCACACAGCACAATATCATCCGCAAACAGCATACTCCACGGAGTCTCACACTTCACGTCACATACCAACACGTCCATTATCAGGTCAAACAAATAAAGGCTAAGGGCCGATCCCTGACGCAAACCAACATTAACGAAGAACCCTTCTGTAGTGCCTACACTACTCTTAACTTGGGTCTCTGCTCCCTCGTACATTTTCTTGATGAGCCTAACATATTTTTCTGGAACATTCTTTTCCCTCAAACATCTCCATATCTCTTGCCTTGGTACCCCATCATACGCATTTTCTAGATCTATGAACAGCATGTACAAATCTTCCTGCATTTTCCTGTGCCTTTCCATCAGCTGTTTTAGAGCAAAGATAGCATCAGTTGTACCCGGCAAAAAGCCAAACTGTTCCTCTCCAATCTCAGATTCCTGCCTAATCCTTCTTTATACAATTTTCTCCCAAATAATAAAGATTTGAACGAATATATAAATTTGATTTTATTTTGTAAACTTCAAAAACGCAAAATATCTACAGTATAACAACAGTCATTACAAAAATAAATATTTTAAAAAAGATTCACTGCATCAGCAATAAACTCAGTGGTTTTTTCTGAACGATATAATATACACATTTACTAACTTTTCCACAACAATGAGAAAGGCTTTCCACATTGTCTGATTTATAGAGTCATATCAGATGTTATAGCATTGATAATTAATCCCATATCTTCACTATATTTAATTATACCAAGAATTATAATTTTTAAAACAGAACCATCTGTTCAGTTGCTTGTATAAAAGTATGCTACAGTGTTTCCACCTTGTAAATATACCATTTAACATAAAGACTAGTGAATGAGTAGCCAAGCCCGTATGATTTTATAATGCTACCTCGCCATAATACAGTATGTATTAGTATTTGTATCACAATCAGTGCTTGGAGTTAGTGATGTTTCATCCAAAATTAAAACAAATTGCTTTTTTATCTGTTTCCATACCACCAACTTTTAAGAAAATCAAATCGTTTAATTTCAAAATTTCCCAATAGGAGAAAATTTGGTGCTAATGTCGCTGAAATTTTATTTTACCTAAGTTGTATAACGAAGGTTACTTTTAGTGATGGAACGATACTAAAATTTCTCCCGATTCCGATTTTTTTGAATAGTTTCTAAAGTTTATTTTTATTTAAAAATATTGATTTACGTTATGAGCATGGTACATTCATTAATTAATAAACATCAAGCTTAAGAATGGAAAATGATTGGAAAACACGAAATCCCGAAAATTCTCCACTCATATGTGGATATGCATGCTTTTATTGTATACTACAAAACAAATTTGTAATTTTATTTCAGCTAAAATTAACATTGCAACACTATCCTCAAAGAAATTACAGCTAATTCCCTTTTACTCAAAGAACAGGGCGTGCACTTTTCGAAACTAATAGGCAGCGCTAGTATTGGGCTTATGGATAGATAGATTCCTGTTTCGTAAATTGTACTGTGTATACACTGTTTAAAAATTGCTTTTTTAGTTATTTAGGTGTTTTTGAAATGCCCGTTAATTATTGTTTGCCCGAGTGCCGATGATAAGAAACAACCAGGTTTAAAATTTCATAAATTTCCGGATAATCCGATAAGAAGAAAGAATAAGAAGTAAAGATAAAAACTGGAAAGAAAATCAGTCGATACATTCGAATCCACGGCAGGCAAAATTATAAGGACAGTTAGTTTTGAATAGTTTAGAGTAGGCCTAATAATACTCTACAAATGTAAATATATTTTTAATGAACAATTTGGAAAGTTATTTGAATAATGTTTGAATAATGGAAAGTTATTAGATCACACCCGGTATTATAACAACCAATCATTTTATACTTTTGAAATCTTAACAGTTTACGTCTTAAACACTATTAAGGCAATGCCAAGAAATAGTGAACTTTCAGAAGCTGAAATTCGAAATATATATTACGAGGGGATGGAAAGTTTCAGAAAAATAGTTACAATAATTTGTCATTCTATAATAAAACTGTTGTGGCCAAGGTATAAAAAAAACAAGAAATTTGAAAAATGGAAAGAAGTAGACGCAAGAAAAAATTAAATAACAGAGATATTTGTAAGGAAATTTGTGAGAAATTTGTAAGAAAGGTTTTCTTCCTTACAAAACAAGTAAATTATCAGCTATTTACTAGACAGGTAAGCTGCTAGTTTACCAAAATTTGTGTCGCATCAAACGATGTGATGTGTTCGTAATAACAACATAAAATAGTGAAAAATGAAAGTGATACCTAATTTGATACCTGTTTACAAGCAACAAAGACTTCAATAGGCTAAATCTGTCACGAGCTGGACCAAGGAGTGGAAAAAAGTTGTGTTTTCTGATGAAAAAAGTAAAATTTAGATAGACCAGATAGTTAAGGATATTATTGGCACGATGTGAAAAGAGGAGCCAAAGTTCGAGTGGTCAGTCAGTTAGGAGGTGATAGTGCAATGATTTGGGATACTTTTGGATTCAATGGGAAAACCGATATTGTCATTATTGATGAAAAAATGGATTCTTCAAAATATCAGGATACAGTCGACCCCCCTATAAGATAGAGATACGTTCCATTCTCTAGGAATCCGATTTCTTACGAATCCTTCCAATCACAACCCGACACGTGTCAAGTTTACGGACTACGGCTGTTTGAAAGATTTTCTTCCATAAAATTAATCGATTCTAGACTAATCCGACTCAACATTTCCAAAATACGTATATATTTTTTGGGAATAATCCGTATAAACTACGCTATAAACAAAAAATTGTAGGATTACTTACCGAGTGTCACCATTCGACATTGCCATTGCTCAACATTGTTTTCGTCGCGGAACAGCTCAGCAAAGAGCGGCCGATTTCTAACAACTTATTTTTCTGTGAAAACTTCGTAGAACTTCGGAGACATCATTAATATAAATAATTTTAATCGCCGTTGAATAAGAAATGTTTCTTTCACAAGAAATGTATAAAATTACAGTACTGTATTAGACTTACGGTACCTAATTTACATACTGACAGACGATAGTTAGCGTAAAAATCTCCGTAGCGTGGCGCCACGCTAGACGGCGGAAATTATATATTTAATTATAACAAAGTTACAATAAGTTAATATATAATTATATATACAGTACCTAATTTATATATAATTAATATATAATTATATGTACAGTACCTAATTTATATATAATTTATATAATACTGTCCAGACGATAGAAATCTCTCCGTAGCATGGCGCTACGGACGGCGGGAAAGTAGTTCGGCTGCCCGATGACGTTTGAGGTGTTTATAGGGAACTTTTACTATTTTTTACGGATACCGGTAGCAATTTTTTCGTAGTTTTATAGGAATCGTAATTATAGGGACAGTAATTATAGGGGGGTCGACTGTATGTTAAAAAATAATTTAATTGCATTTGGTCCTTTAATTGTCGAAAATAATTGAAAATTTCAACAAGACAACGCTCCACTCCATGCATCAAAATCAATTAAGAAATTAATGAAAACATAAAAGACGTATAGAAGTCCAGATCTTAGTCTGACAGAAAATTTATGGAATATAATAACAAAATTAATTTATGGTTATTCTCAATCAGTTAAAATTAGCAATTACGGATGCTTGAGAAAATATTGAAGTGAAACAATCGCAAAAATCGATTCAAACTATGCCTGATAAAGTACTTGATGTTATTTAAATAATAAGAATTTTCCAAAAATATGCCTTTCTTATAATTATGTTACATTTAAAAATGCAATTAACTTCAAAAACAGTGTTTAAAATGTCTTAATTAACAGCAAACATTAATAATAATTAATTTTTAACATTGTTTTATATTTATTATTATGCATGTAAAATTTCAAAAGATTATTACAAATTGAAGTTACCTACTTTATGATATTTTATTGTTGATATTCATTTTTTTTACCTCTAAGTACCCACCTGCTAGTACTTGCATAGTAGCAGTATTTTTTTCATACTTCTATTATAAAAATTTGATTTTATATGAATTTTTAAAATAATACTAGTACATTGACCTTGATGACCTTAACATAGAACTGAANTATTGTTGATATTCATTTTTTTTACCTCTAAGTACCCACCTGCTAGTACTTGCATAGTAGCAATATTTTTTTCATACTTCTATTATAAAAATTTGATTTTATATGAATTTTTAAAATAATACTAGTACATTGACCTTGATGACCTTAACATAGAACTGAAACTGGTAAACTACTCTAACCACGCCCCCGTGGTAACAAAAGGGTTAAATTAACATAATATTCTTTATTTAATTTTCGATATCTAAAGAATCAAGTTAATACAATTAAAGTACCTATAACGTAATAATCTTAATCTTAATTATTAAAAAAAACCAACTGTAGGTAAATTTTCGGACAATTTTTAACGAATACGTTCGATTTAATAAATACTTCCGATTTAAATTAGTAAAGTATTAAATTATTTAATAGAAAGGTATTCGTATAGAAAACATACAAAATCATCCTAATTTTTTGCGAATAACAATAATGCCTGAGGAAAAGCTGTTGCTTCGCGTACGGCTCCTACAAGAGAAAAGGAAGTCTCCACTGGATTTTTTTTCTATTTTTTGATTATTGATAAACCCCATCAAGCGTGGGGTTACAAAAATTGCCTATAGGCTTATTGTTATGTTCCCCTCCACGGTAACCTTTAGTAAAAGGCGAAAGGTTAATGCGTATGAAGAGAATACTTTTCGTTTCCTCGCTCAAAGGGTCATTCGGATCGCGTCGTCCATTTCTCTGGTGTCATTGTAATTATGTCGCTGTTCTGAAATTATTTACAAATTGTCTTTGATGAATTTTTAACGGTGAAAAGAAATCGGTATGATACGGAATAATTCTTAAACGTCTTGTAAAATACTTTCAAGAACGCGAGCTATTTGATATTATATCACGATAAAGAGCACTTAGCCCCGGACGATCGAGTAGTTTAAGCCCATTGCTCTGGAATCCTGGGAACGAATCCAAACGTGTCGAAAAAACCTTAGCCATTATTTAGGGTTCTGGGATTTTAGGACCCGTTTCTCGTCGCTTTGATTTCCCGTCGTGAACTGGCTGAACCCGTACGAAAATCCCTCTTACAAAGAGAGGGTCGGTCGTTCGGGTCTCCGATTTGGACGAAACTTGCCGAGCACGTAGCTCTAATCAAAACAGCTCCTTGTCCAAATATTAAGGACCCGCTTCCCAAGCTTTTCCGAAAAAACGGGTTTCTGAAAATTGAGTGTTTAGCTTATAAGTCTTTGGAGGTGTCACGTCTTCTGGAAACGGCTATCTTTTTATTTCTTCGTATTCATTTTCAGATATGTTGTTACATTTGAAGTGTAACGTGTGCACATAAGGAAATTGTCCATAATATTAACAATTCAATAAAAGAAAACACGCGGCAACAATGCTACCTTATTTTCATATCAGACAGGTCTTTCTCGTAATGTCTTAAGCTTATTCGCTTGTATTAGCATAGCATGTAACCACAAGCAGAAATCTGAAAAATATGAAGAAATAAAAATTTTATTTAACTACATAAAATAATTAAATTTACATATTTATTTTTCCCTAAGGAGGAATCATTATTTTAAATCTATAAGTTTAAAGCGAGGAATGATAGTAATAATGACGTTAATGATACAGTAAAATAATTATGCTATACACAACAAGAAATACTAAAATTTCAAAGGTTCGAACCCATATTGTGTTGTTCTAGTACATAGCTTCCTCGCCTTTTATCTATTGCCATTCTGCAGAGAGGAGACACTTCCAGACTTATAAGCTAAACATTCAATTTTCACAGATTTGTTTTTTGGAAAAGCTTGAGAAGTGGTCCTATTATTTGGACGAGGAACTGTGTTTAGGTCTACATGCTTAACAAGTTTTGTTTAAATCATAGATCCTAACGTCTAACCCTGTCCTTGTTAGTACTCACAATAGAAAGAATAAAAACAAACAAAATATAAAGATCACAGACATTTTGTATATCCATATACGGTATTTTAATTGTGGTCCTCGTGAATATACAATAGATAATAGGTCGTTCCATTTTAGTTCAGGCAGGAGTTGACTCTCACGATGCTAGATTTTGATTTTCGTGGAGTGAGTTTGTTTTTAACTAATATGAAGCTCTGTCGTTTTTTTAAAAAATTCATTTTTAATGATTTTAGTGATACTTTTAGTGATTCATTTTAATGATACTAGCAGATAGGCCCGGCGTTGCTTGGGCAAAATGTAACGATAGCGAAGATTAAGATTATTATGTTATAGTCAATCTTACCCGTTTTCAAAGAATGCAAGAATTAGGTCCCCCTGTTTCCAGACTAATTAGAAAAATTTTAGATGGGTTAAAAAATGTTCGATTTCTCGCAAAAACGAAAAAACTCCATCTGCGTCTTGCACGTCGCTTTCTCTTAACATTTCCATTGTTAGGAAACACTTTCATTGTTGACACCTCCATTGTTACTTGACACTTCCATTGTTGATGGAAGTGTTAAGCCTTAATCCTGTCCTCTCCCTCCGTGGGGAGGAATTTCGAAAAATCCCTTCTTAGTGTGCGTTCTCGTGTCGTACCCTAACTGTGTACCAAATTTCAACTTTCAACTCCTAACCGTTTGGGCTCTGCGCTGATTATTATTATTATCAACTCGTCTCGATTATATAGACTATATAGATTAAAGTTGAGTAATTAAACTGTCGTTCTTATAATTCTGTTAGAAGACCAAAAATGAAAGCCGACAACTAAAAGCGTCAGTTTAACTTATTTTAAGCTCTTGTACTGTACCTTTCTAAAAGTTCTGCCTTTGTTCCTGTTGTCTTGGCCCGTAATTCAACCAGTGTTACATTCTTTAAGTCCATGTTTTTAAAAGTAGATTAACACTTCCCGTTCAGTTTCCAGTTTACTGGCTACCGGAAGTTAAGTACTGTATACATCAAGCTGACACTAGCGCCACAAGTGCGTTTACTTCTGAGCTAGGGTACGTTCGTAAAGTCGAACGAGTTAAACGAGAATGACGTCATCGTTATTCTTATTTCGTTAGACTTTTCGAACGATTCGTTTATAACTAAACTAGCTTATCCGTCGCGCATTGCTACGATCTCAGAAGAAAGGAAATTCAAGCAAACTCGTTATGATAAAATTCAATTTACATTTTATTATTTTTATTGAAACTTATTATTATTATTCATTTTCATCGGGAAAACATTTCAAAGTGTCGTTTCAATTCTATTTATTTATTGGAGTGTTTGTGGATACACGATATTTTTTGTTTTTTCCTCTGATGTGTACACGAATAAATCGGAAGGTTTTCCGACGCATGAGCCGGCCACATACAGTTGTCCATGCGAAAAGCACGGATTCTCCAAATTTAGCCCACACACTCGCAGCGATTGTCAGAAGTGCGATATTCCCCATTTATATATATATATTTTTAAATCCTTTATAATTTTAATTATTTAATTGCTCCTTCCTCTCTTCCTTGGCATGTTGTGAAATTTCTGATAGTTGGATAATAAACCGTTTTATTGTAATTTGTCTTTTTAAATTATTTTGAGTCGATATTAAAATTTGGAAAAGGGAATCCCTAGATCAGTAAAATAGGCGAATTTCCTTCTACAACTTCGGTTGTTGTTCGGTATACAGTTAAAGTTTTAACAAAGTTCGAGCGAATACACAATTATTTATAGCAAAAAAAAGTTGAAATAAAATGATTAAACAAACATTATTACGAATATCGTAAATAACAGTTCACAAATGCATATATAGAAATATTTTTTGAAGGGGGAAATGGTCTTCACAATTTGAAATCGATCGAACACACAGTGCTCGAATGCTCGTGTAAACGCGCGCCATCTATCGTAGGATAAATGTACTATGCCAAAAACCTTCGCCGGAGTATATTAAACAACTTCCCAAAGTTTCATGGCAATCGGATAAACGGTGTGGTAATGCATGAAGGACATAAGACAGACACACAGACAGACATACGTTCATTTTTATATATATAGATGATGTTTCTAAAATCGAAGATATGAATGTTGCTAGTGCAGCCTTATCCGAAATATTTTTCTTAGATTGCTTCGGGTGGACGGTTATTTCAATCATTTCACTTTTTAATTCACAATTTAAACACTCAAGTAGATTTAGAAACATCGATATCGTCGGGCGCCATTTTCTTAACGAAGTAAACTAACTCTTTCCTTCGTGAACTTCGTTATAGGGTACGTTCGTAAATTTCGAATTATTCGTTACTAACGCGTTTAACTCGTTTGACTTTACGAACGACTACTTTTGAACTAAAGACTTAAAAGAGAATCTTTTGAAAGTCTCCTTTAAAAAATAAGCCCAATTTTAAACAAAAAAATTACTGCCTCGGAAGGCAGCATTTATTTGATTTGCCAATGTTCATAGACAGCATTTATGCTGCCTATAGACATTGTCGAATCAAAAATCATTCAGGTTGGTTTATACGAAGTAATATATGAAACCAGATGCAGTATATGCAAGAATAGCAGATTAATGCATATTTAACGCGAATGTTTAAGTCACTTGTCAGTAAATAATGTGACGTTCTTTTGACTGAGTTTAAAATCAACAAATAATTGATATTAAATACAAATGTTTTTTCTTCTATTCACTAAGGGTATTGGTGATCGTTTTAATACAGTATTTCTAGATGCACTGCGTGGAATATTTTAAATAAGGTTGTTAATTCTTTCGTAGTGTTAAATGAAAATGAAAAAATAATCTCTTGGCTATCACAACAGGATGCTGCAACGATGGAATTTTTTTACACCCAATCTGGTTTCCCAAGAATTATAGGCTCTATTGATGGAAAGCATATGGTTATTAAAACACCAACCGAAGAAACATCTTATTTCAATAGAAATAAGTGTTATTCGGGCATCCTATAAGTTTAGTTTATAATGAGAAATGCTATTTTTAGATTACTGTGTAGGTGATTCCTGTTTTTTCCGACGATCAACATTGCATCAGAGTAAACACGAGTGATGGATTTTTTAGCTATGGCCATATTTTGGGTGATACTGTAGTACTTATCCGATATCTGGACATTTGCTAACGCCATATCCAGATAATGGGAATCTCAACAGCATGCAATTATTATACAATAATAAATTATCAAAATGTAGAAATGAAATTGAGCATGCATTTGCACATCTTGTTGGAAGGTTTGGGCTGCTAACATTTTTAACATATCAAATGGACTTGATTGTAAAAACAATTATTGGTGCATGCATTCTGCACAATATTTGTTTACAAACTTATGATGCAATAGAAGTAGATTATTTTGATGAACAAGGAAGGAAGTGAAGAAACTACAATTCATTCTGCTGTCAGAAAAGCTACAACAAAGTGTGATGACATAGCAAATGGAATGTTTGTTAGATCTTAAAAATTTCAGAACATTTGGTCAGTAAAATATTGAAATGAGTAAACACTCATCTCAATATTTTACTGACGAAACACAATTTAAAATATTTGTTTCAATATCTCAATTGATATATTTATTTGAATAAAACTAGAAATATTCATACTGTATTTGTTTAAAAGATTCTTTGTATGATTTTGTTCAACTATTATTACATGTATTTTGTAAATAGTATATCATCACTATTTAATAAAATTGTATAATTTCATTGTGTAATTTATAATATTTTTTTATTTATATTTTTATAATGTACTGTATTTACTACATTCTATGATAGTAGTAGTAGTATTTAATTTTAGAAATTCCTAAAATGCAAACAGTTGAAACAATAATTTTTATTCAAATGATATGTATGGGAAATGACTTCTCAAGAAATTTTAAGTGAAAATTCATTCAAGTATACAAACTTATGTAATTTTGGATTATTATTAATACTGCTCTTCCTTTACAATTTATTTAATGCTCTGAACATAACACTTCTGAAGATTCCAAATATGTATAAGGTAAATTTCACTTTTAATTATAATGAGTCAAACTTAATTTTTTTCATATTAACCCTCTCAGTTTATGAAAAAAAGTCATGTACAGCTATTGAACCTTACAATTAAAAAAAGTAAAGATCATTGTAAACATTTTATACAACAATTAATAGAAATTTACCAATTAAAATATTTTCTGCCATTTCTTTTTCCAATAATAATTCAATTTTCATTTCTTTGTACAAGAAAGTCATTTTTTCATGGGAGCAGCCACACTGAATTAGCACAAAGCTCAACAGCACTCTGAGCTTACTAATTCCATTAAAAATGACACACAACTCTAAAGTAAATGCCAATGACTGCGGCGCTCAGACGAAAGTATACAGATTGAAGTAAAATTAGCTCAGAAGTAAATGTACCTTTAGATAAGTTGTAGTTTGGTTTATTTGGTTAATGCAATGTGACACATGGGCGATCTGTCTCCTGAGTCTTTTATGGAAAACTGCCCCAAATTAGGTGTTTAAATGTAAAACTGGACAACTCCACGTGTCCAGCCAGTTGGCAAGGTGCAAACTCGCAACCACTCCAACAACAGTGTTAAGTGATCTTATCCAGTCGGCTACAGATGGGCATTTTAGGTGAGTTAAGTTTTGAAATTTAAGTATAGACATACTAACTTTTGCAAGGTAGGAAGAGGTGTGCTGCTACTGAATACTTTATTTTTTAAAGAAATTCTCTATCGCAGTTATTAAATGCAAGAGTTACTGACACAAAATTTGCTTAATACAAATTTATTATTTTTTTGGTTTTATAAAATCCTTAACACTGCAAATAAAGGGCATTAAATTACATACTACGTAAATCACGTCAGTTTCAATCATCATAACTTGAAAGTCAATTAAATTTATTATAAATGTTTATAATTTACAGATTATTTGTAATTGAGTTACATAGTTTAACATAATGTAAATTATGGTTTGGAAATGTACAAAACAATAAAATACATATAACATAATTATAGTCTATGTTTATCAACATTATCATATCACAACATTAAAACTATTTTGTAAGTTATATAAAAGTTATTTATATTAGTTATTATAAAGTAATTATGCACAGACCTATATACAAAGTATAGATTTATTTATACAGAGGCATATTTTACTTCATCAAAAGCTTTCCTAGCTTTCTTCAATTCCTCATTCATTGTTAACAGATCTTTTACTCGAGCATATTTCCTTGGATCTTTCCTAACTAAGAAGACAATATCTTCTACTTGAACGCGTCCTGCTCTTCCAATTTCCATTGCCCTATGAGTCTTAAAAAGAGAAAAAAAAATTAATATATTTGTATGAGTTTTCTAAAACACAAGTTAGGTTCATTAACATGCAGTGACTGTTTTAGATTGTGTGGCTCCTATAAGCAAGTGTGGAATTGCAAGACTCCTTTCATTTTAAGTTTATGTCATGTAAACTCATCAGAAAATACTTAGTATTGTTCAAGATCTATAATCTTTGCTGGATTCTGAATACTACACCAAATCTGGTTATCAACAAGCATTTATTTGGCATGCTTGAAGCTTCTAAAAGAAAAGTCCCTAATCTAAAGTTGCACATACCTAAAACTACTTTTTAACAGACGAAATAATAGCACTTACTAATGATTTTAATAAGTGTTTTCACTATTAAAGATTCTAATTGAAGCAAAGCATCGATATAATGATGTATCAATTAATATAAAAATCAATTGATGTCAAAAGTACTTGTTTAATTAATTCATCAAATGAATAAATTTATCATCAAAAGACAGTACAATTTCTTACATATTTTGTTACAATTAAAATTTTTTTTAATTGTATAATAGGAAGCTTTATGTATGAAGCTACAATAGTACAATCAATCATAATTTTTGTATAAGAAAATTTCTATATGACATTTTGATAATGTAGAGTACATTGCCTTTCTAAAATGATACTCCAATTTTCATTAAATTTAATTTCAAAATCTATGCATACACAGCTTTAATTAATTCAGGCCAGTTCTAAGGGAAGTTCAACATTGCCAGCTTGACAGAACTCATAGTAGTAAAAGTAAACTGTTTCCTTCTTCTCACTCTGCTCACCATTACTTAGTAGAAAAAAGTGAACTTTGTTTTCCTAATGTATCACTCTTATTCAGATAATTTAATTTCTATTTTCACATTTAGTGTAATTTTTTCAAACATTTCTATTTTAGTTCTTCAGCTTCAGAAAATTCTAGGAAAAAAAAAGCAGTAACTGTAGGGAATGCTTGATTTTAAAAATATTTCACTGTTTTTTGGACTACTTTAATAGTTAGTCTAAGCTCTTTATATTCAATTTTTTTTGTTATTTTCCAATTTGTTTTGATTTTTGTGTGCAACTACACTTCAGTCTGTCTAAAATCTTTAATTAGTAATTATTCAAAAAACATTTTTTAAAATTTAATTTCTTCATTTTTTATTCAGTCCAAAGGAATATAAATGTAAAAATTATTTCAACTTCTTAATGACATAATTTACAAACTAATTTGTTCTCCGTTGATTGTTAACTTTGATATATATAGTATACTTGTGGAACCAATTAACTGCATATATTGAGGGTTATCTGTACTATCAGAATGTGATTTAGTTTGTAGAATGACAAATGAAGAATTCAGATCAATCTACATTGTCATTAATTAACTTGAAATTAGTTAAGAACCATGATTATTTCTTTTTATGTTTTTACATTAAAATTCTTCTTTGTTGCTAGTTTTTGGTGTTTTAGTGTGTTTGCCTTTAATAAAGAAAACTGTTGATCATTCTTTTAGATACAAAATAAATATAAATTTTGAAAATATATTCGTATTTTTGCTTTTTTGTTGACATATTTTATAATTAAATCTATTATAAACATATTAAAAACATGAAAATTATTTCAGTGAGAAAAAATTCTTATTACATACCATAACTGTTATAAATTCAATTACTAAATCTTCTAAAATATCTACAGATTCAGTATAAGGATTCTGATCATCACCAAATCCATACATCATACATCTTACTGAAATATCAAAATAATCATCATATAATTATATTGCACAGTAATATTTTATAAAATTGAAATAAATTTCATTTTCTAACTGTATACAGTAATAAATAAACTAAAATAAGAACATAATAAAATATTAATTAAAAAATTATCTAAATGTTTTACAAGATTCAAGCATTGTCCCCCCACACTTTTTCCCTTTTATAAAAGACTTGTCATAATTTGTCATAATGGGGAGGTTGGGGTGGTGAGGGATAGTGTTTGAAAAATCCAGGAGAGGCCATCTATGAAAATTTGAAAATCACAAAATCTAAGCATAACAATTAGATCTTTTCAGTACAGTTTAATACAACTTAGCTATTGATTAGTCAATTTCATAAACAGGTGTAACAAACTTTAATTATTTAATAACTTTGATATTATTCTGAAACAAAAATTACCAAACCATACAATGATTAGTTTGGCAGAAATATTATTATTTAAATTAATGCCAAAATCAACTTTTGAAATTTATCTTAATAGTTTAAATAATGTTTTTAGAGAATACTACTTATTGTTGCAATCTCAAATTGATAATTTTATACATTTGGGTATGAGAGAACTCTTGATAAATTTCTAAAATTTTTTATCAGCAACAACACACAATATATGATTCAAGTTCATAAAAAGAGAAGAAACACTAAAATAACTTTTTTAAAAAAAAAGATGAATTAAACAGAAAATTAAATTTTTCTTCTTAATTCATCCTTTTACACTCAGGAACACAATGAAGTTTTCTTGATGCAGTCAATCTTTATCTTGAGTCTCTAATCTGCCTCAATATGCAAAACAAGATTTAAAAAACCTTTGACAGTGAGACAATTAAAATAATATTAATTCATTAATAATAAACTTGTATTGTGTAGCTACCAAGGAAGTTTTCAAATAAATTTTGTATATTGAAATGGACAAGAGAATCAAAGCAAAGGGTGACTCTGTCAAGAGAATGTTATATTTCTGAAGTGTGTAAAAACATAAATTGAGAGGAAACTTATACTTTAGTGTTTTTTCTATTTTTAAAAACTTTAATTATATTTATTGTCCTGAACTTTTTCAACACTGTATACAAAATTAAAAACTTATGAAACATAGGTAATGAAATCAAGAAAACTTTGCTGTAATAAACAAAATTTTATACTGAACTAAGTGTAAAGTAAAATCTGTCATTTTAGTTGAAAAAACAAATGCAATGTAAGGTTTACTAACTTACTGATTGCAGATATGTGCTGTTACAGTGACTACAAACAGTCTAATCTTGTAAAAATTGCATTATTATAAATCTGAATAATTTAACAAATATTTTTGCTTTATTTTAGATTTTATAAAAAGTTTTAGTAAAATTATCATTTAAAAGATATCAAATTACAAAATGATAATTAATGTATGGAAATACAATAACAAAGTAAATTTCAAAAAGATTAAAAAGTACTTTCTAATGCTTTTGAAAATCAAATTGTGTTTCTCTTAAGTAGAAAGTTATCAATTACCATACTACTACTTTCCCTTCAATCTAAAAATTTATTCCAATGTAACTTTTTTTATCTTGAAATAAATATTAGATTACAAATATATTTTATTTTATGTTATATTCAAAAAAACTGAATTTATCTAAATTTGCATAAAAATAATTGTTAGAACTCAGATTTAACTGTAAATCTTCATTTAAAAGAAGTCAAATTATATATATATATATCTAAAATTTCTCAAGTAAGAGTTAGAAAATTTTTTCTTCACACAAATTTTTCCATGGGAAATGATTCTATTTCCCATGGACTAGTTTCCTTGTCCAGAGATAACACATCTGAATGTGTCACTTTTGATTATATATTAGGGACTTACATCCAAAAATCACTATTGGATTAGTTAACCTAACATTTCCAAACAAGGAGATGTGAACAAAGGAAGAGGACTCCAAATAAAAGAGAGAATTGAATGACAACAAGGAGTTTGTCATCACCAGTTGACTGTTACTCCAGTTTGCCCATCATTGGAGTTTGTCTATCCTCTTGGTGCCAGATACCCTGACTAGGTTACTTTAATATCAACTGTGGATTGCTGCCTTAACCTGTCCTACATTGTTCCCAAAAATATTCATGTTGACCTCATTGACATGCGTGGGCAATCCCAAATATTTTTATGTTTACATNTTAGACCTCCTCCACCCAGAATCAGACCACCTACAAACATGATGGCTTGTGAAGCAACAAAACTCGTATGCTTGTGAAACAATAAACTAATGGCCAAACAGTTTACTGTGTCTTCCCTAAAGACACAGTAACTGACATGGGCATTGCAGAAGTGGCAACCCTTCAATCAAGTGGTGTGAAAGCCTAGGGGGCATTTCACACATGATCACAATTGGGCTGCAATTTGAAAAAATTGTAGACCTATAAATTCCCACTATTGTCCATCTGTCTGTCTTTCCTTGATCTCAAGAATGGAGTAAGATAGATAAAGACAGATATGGAAATCTTAGGGGCAGGAAGTCCTGTTTAACTATATACAAACTTCCATTGCAAACCAGAAATCATGTTATTTCAATTCAAAACTTTTGCCCTGAAAGTAGTTAATAGAAGACTGGCATGACACTATTGTTAAAGGAAAAGTATGATGTTGATGTATAGGGACAAGACACTATAGTATTAATTTGAAGTAGAGAGCATGTATTTTAAATTATATAAATTAAAAATATGATTAATAATTGTAGTCCAGCATTGTCATGATGTCACAATAAATAATTTCTCATTTATATATGTTACCAGCCAAACCCGATTTCAGGCCAAACTAGTTTATCCTATGCATGTCAGGATATACTAGTTTAGCCTAGGATAATCTAGTTTGGCCTAAATACTTTAGGCTTAACTAGTTTGAACTAGGCCAAACTGATTTATGTACTACAAATAGGTGCCAGTGTAAAAAAAAAATGATTTTGTATAATTCGAAATGCCACCACAGTTCCCTTGGTGGTTAAAGTGTACTGTACCTAGGTAACTGCAATGGTGGTGCTTTAGTTGGTTTGGTTAGGTTAACTACATTTTTAGTGGACATTTCCGTTTTTTTCTTTTGTTCAAGAACTACCATGAATCAATGACTAGTGATATTAAACAATCACTAGTACCGCCGGCAGGCCCCCCAAAGGGGAGCTGCTGGCAGGCAGCTCCCCTTTGAGGGGAGTCAGCCAGGAGCACGAACAATCCAAAGTGCCACCATTGGGGTTACCTAGGTACACTTTAATCCAACCTGTAAAAATAAATAAAAGATTAAATATTTTATATGTTACACTAAGGAACACAAACAAGTTCATTTTTAATTTTAGTTTGACTTTAAAAGTTATTTTTATTATTTCGTTTGAATTTCTGAAAATATTTTTGAAATTTAATTACCTTTAAAAGTGCATGGCTTAATAAAAATAATACAAACTGATAAGTACTGATTAGCTTATTTTTTTATAGTTTTGTACAAGTATTGTGTCACTTCTAATCAATACCATTTTTTATAATTAAGTAGACTATATTTGAATAAATATTGTTCATCTAATTGATTGCCTTTTAATTTAATTTTAACCATTAATATACTTAAATCAGGCCTGGCCAACCCGTGGCCCATCACATTAAATTGTGTGGCCTGCTAAGCAATATTATATATCTACTAAAACTTTCGTTTTCTGTTTTGTGTATACCAAAACAATTAAATAAATGAAAATTTGTATGTGTCATTGCTACCCGTGAGGAGCCAAATACATCATCTTATTGGAGCTTATTTTCTCCTGACCCTCAAGTGTCCGACTTCCTCAACATTCTTACAACAACAGATATTTATCATCTTGCACCTGAGTGTAAACTCTCTTTGTTGTATTAGAGATCCACCACAATATGCTTACAATATCTCGTTATTATGATCTTTATTGTAATCAATATGTAAATCCTATATAAATAAACAGGTATTTGTTTAGTTTAATGTGTTGTGGAATGCAATTCCTTTCATTGTGCTTGTCTCTTAGACCTCCTCCACCCAGAATCAGACCACCTACAAACATGATGGCTTGTGAAGCAACAAAACTCGTATGCTTGTGAAACAATAAACTAATGGCCAAACAGTTTACTGTGTCTTCCCTAAAGACACAGTAACTGACATGGGCATCGCAGAAGTGGCAACCCTTCAATCAAGTGGTGCGAAAGCCTAGGGGGCATTTCACACATGATCACAATTGGGCTGCAATTTGAAAAAATTGTAGACCTATAAATTCCCACTATTGTCCATCTGTCTGTCTTTCCTTGATCTCAAGAATGGAGTAAGATAGATAAAGACAGATATGGAAATCTTAGGGGCAGGAAGTCCTGTTTAACTATATACAAACTTCCATTGCAAACCAGAAATCANGTGCGAGTACGAACTCTTGGTATAACAATGAAATCTTATTCATTTTGTATTTGTTTTACTTTTTTAGAAGCATGTTTTCCTAAATTGTGGCCCATTGTAATGTCACACATGATCAAAGTGGCCCACGAAACAATTTGGGTTGGCTAGGCCTGACTTAAATAATAATTCTAAATCAGTTCGGATTAGGACAAACTAGTTTGGACAGTAACATATATACATTTTACTTATAATTTTCACAAATCTCCAATTTTATTGACTATTGTTTTATTTAAATAATGATTCCTAGGAATCTATATTATGCAATTTAAGGAAAAAACATATATTTCATAAAAATGTATAAAATACCAGATTCTGCATTTAATTATTACAACCAATTGAGAACAACTGATTATTGATTATTATTATTGATACAATATTTTATTATTTAATAAAATAAAAATTATAATATTCTTACATTCTTTAGAAAATAATCTTTTCTTCCTGTCTCCAGACTGGGTTTCTTGTGTTTCATTCAAATCTTCTTCAAACTTTAAGATTTAAAAGATTTTATGTTTTAATATTATTATAAATGTATTTATTAGAATACAATCAAAAATAAAACATATTTAATATATATTAGTCAGGTTTTTATATCAAACTGATTAATATTTGAATTAAAGTAATGTATGAAACACAATAAAATAAGACTGCTTTACAATTGAAATATTGCAGTCAGGAATGTTTGAGTTCATAGATTCAAAGCTTTTCTCTTGCTGTTTTGAAGTTTCCCTAAAATAAGTTTGTAATCAAAAACATTTGGGATTTCATTTTAAATAATAACATTCCAAAAACTTGTTTTGAGATCATATAGAATTTAAAAAAAACCCACATTTGTTAACTTTCAAATATCAGTAGAAAAGAAGATTATTAGGATTTCTGTATATACAATACTAAGAAATGTGTAAAGAATTTCCATGCAGAAGACAAAGTAAAATAAAAAGATCTGTAAATATTAAATACCAAAAGCCCATAAAAATATAAGGAGTCATATATGAGTAATTTAAGGTAACAAGTATCTTTACTTATTTTTAGTTTTTATTGATCAATGTAGACAAATCCAGTGAAGTATCATTTACTGATTTTAGTCTAAACATACTATTAACCAGTAAACAGTTTGTTTTTAATTAAACATAGCAACAATGAAATGTTATTCTTTTTCCACTCATCCATTCAATTTTTTATATGGAAAATATTATAAAATGTGTGTTAATCTTTGTCAAATCAATAATATATGAAACAATATATAGTAAATCCTTATGAACTTAAAATGAGACATCTCAAATATACTTCATTAAATTATATGTTACTTTTATAATGTAACAGATATTTATAATACAGTTAAACAGAATAAAGTTCAGCAACAAGAATGCTTAATTTCTGTTCCATGAAGAGTTCAACAATTACAGATATTAGAAAAAGTAGACATGTGATTTATAAAATTGAAGAAATAAAATACAGTATTCACATTTACAATATTAATCAAAATATTTTATTATTATTAAAGAGGTAAAAATTTAAAAAAATTTTCATTACAAGCAGACAACCTTCAGGAGGACAAAAATGTTTATCTAATTAAACTTTTTTGCTGGAATTTATGAAGGTCATCTGCATGTCTACTAGAGGTAAAAGTTATGCTATTAAAAAATTTAGAATTTGTAAAAAGTAAAAAAAGAAATGCCTATTTTATTTAAAACAATCAATTAATAGCTTTTCAAAGCATTCAAATAACAGATGTAAGAATAAAATTGTCCACTCTTTGTATCCTAATAATATGTCTGATATATATTTTATTTAAAAAGCTATTAGAAGCAAACCTATCAATTGACTATGAAAGAGAACTGCATATAAGATGTAGGCTAATTTCTCTAAACATAAGAATAACTCTTATTTAAAAAGAAGCTTCTAGAATCTTAATTTCGGCTTTCTTTCCAAGAATCACATGCATGATGCATGAATTCAAGTTTAAAAACATTAATGCATTACAGATTGTATCTTAATAACAGTGCAGATATGTAGTTTAATATAAGACAACAGTTTTATTGCTTGGATGGAATATCTGATGAATTTCAGATTCTGTTTTATAAATCACTTATTCTCATCAGGCTTTATTCTAAGGTTTTTATTTTTCTACTGCACAAATATTAGTTTTGTTTTAACCGAACCAATAAATCCTAGCTGTTCTAAACGACAAACGAAAAATAAGGACAATAACACAAACCTTAAATCTTATTAATAATTATATCTGTATAATTATTAATTTCAATCACCATTCATTCTTAATCATTAGGCATGTGCAGTATGCCTGCATGCAATATAATTTACTTTACAATAACCATGCCGTGGTCATGGATTATAGTTTAAATGATAATATTGATGTTGCAGCTGTATAAAAAAATATCTATTGTATATACCCAATACAAACGGTAAATTTTACAAACATTCCTTTCATAGCTGTTTTTTGTGGCTGAATAAAATATACAGTAAACCCGCATAAACCAGAATCACATGGTACCAATATTTTTTCCAGTTTGGAAGATTTCCATTCTAAACGGGTTCTTTTTCAACATAAAAAATCACGCCGTTCCGAAGAATTTTTTCCATTTTGGCCGGTTTCCTTTCTATTCGGGTTCTGTTTTGGACAGGTTTCAGCATACAATGTGCAATTTAGATAAATATTTTGACTTTAACATAACCATGAGAAATATAAAACCCAGAATTGGACAATTAATTACTCCACAAATACGGGCAGTAATTAGTTTAATATTTATTTTTGTAAAGGTCTATAATTATAAGAATAGGGTGCAAGGCCTGTAATTACTGTATATGGATCTTCCCATGATTATATACAAAGACCTATATAATTAAACCGCATAAATGATAATTACATTACATGCAATTCGATAGAACAAACAAAAAATTTTAAAATTGATAAAATAATAACAAAAAAAATGGATAAAATACTTACTTGATCAAACTCCTCGTTGTTCGCCATGACTTCGGTATTCAGCGCCCTCTGAAAAAATCGGTAACTTATTCCGATTTGGAGATATTTTTCTCCGATGACGTACCGATCTCTAAATCATAATTATATATTATTTCTACAGTTTAAAATCATATAAAATTTAATATTTATCACACGAAATAAATAGTAATTTCCGAATATAAAAACTGAAAATTCATAAACAGTTTCAGGAAAATGCTATAATTTTATAATTTTTTTCTTAATTAAATGTTGTTTAATGTTTTATTAATATCGTGTACATTTTTTAAATATTTATTACAGATATAATTTTATTATTTTCTTTTTCATAAATAATTTATTTCATTAAAATACAGTATTTGCTCTTTTTTACTCTTTCCGTCCTGTGAGACTTTTTCTAAGTCCGTTTTTGGTTTTTATGGGCCCAAAATAGTGTGGCCGGGCGGTGAGGGACGGATAGACTGTACACGAAACATTCGTGGAGATTATTGACCACCCGGATTTGTTTTCGGGTCATCCTTAATCGCCTGGTCCATCCGGCCGTCTATGTGATTTTCTTGAAGGTTTACATTCGTAACTATTAAAAGATACTACACATTACTATTATTTTTATGATAAAGATATAATTATTCTGACTTATATAATAAGTAATTGATTTCTAATTTTTATTTTCTCTATTTCAACGCGCAAAGAGCCATCGTGGCTGAAAGAAAATACGCAATAACTGAGACGCTGATATTTAAATTGCACTGAAAACCATATAATTAATCTAGAAATACATCGTAAATTTATAGGTACAGCCGCATTTCTTGACTGGCAAGAACTAAGCAGATGAAAATATGTATTGTCCAAAATATTTTATTACCAATCTTAATGTAAATGCATTTCGGGCTTTAACACCTCTTCAGTACATGCTTTATAAAACAAAATTATAAATTTTTTATAAATAACATTTCTGTAACCAATACGAACAATGCAAATGATAACCAGAGTATTTGTTTTGTTTTAAATACAGGGTTAGCAAGAAATAAGTTTCACACTTCAGAGAGCTCTGGAGTGCGTTCTGCTGCTCTAAATGAGACAAAATTTGGACTACAGATAATTCAAATGATGCGCTTGACAAATGATGCTAAATAAAAAATAGTACAAAAATTCGTCGATAAATGGCGCTGGAACAGAGAAATATTGAATATGCGTGCACATATAAATGCTGAATATGTAACACTAAAAGTGCTCAATATATCCTCCTTCATTTTGAACAATGTGCTCTAATCGCAAAACCGTATTTTCCACAGCTGAACGCAGTGAGTCTGCCGGAATATCCAGAACATGGTGCCGAATGCTGTTCTTCTGATCAGGCACAGATGCAGGTCTTCTACTGTAGACGTTGTCCTTAAGGAAATCCCATAACCAGAAGTCTTCAATATTTCTGTGTGCTCCAGCGCTACCTAGCGACGGATTTTTGTACTATTTTTTTTATTTAAGAAATGTTAAGCGCATCACTTGAATTATCTGTACTCCAAATTTTGTCTCATTTCCAGCAGTAGAACGTACTCCAGAGCTCTCTGAAGTGGGAAACTTATTTCTTGATAATCTTGTACCCCTGATTAATGCTGTTAATTAATCCCTTGATGCTACCTCATATATCAAAATCGCGTTAATCGAGTATCAATACATTGAAACTCGACAGAACAATCACGACCTACTAGAACAAATTTTCGGTAATAACAAATCTTTTAAAAATTTTATTATCAGTAAAAAAGTTTTCTGAGATAAAAATGAGTAACTAACCTTCGATATCTATAAATGAGAATATTTGTTTTTTTGTTTGTTCGCTACATACTCCTAGACCGTTTGACCAATTGCTACGAAAGTCGGAAATTACGTTAACATACTACTAACTTTAATAACGTCGTACATAACGTCCAAAAATATTTATTGGATTTATGTATATTAATTAATTTTTGTCTACATAAGATTTGCTGAATTTACGTGTTGTGCCATCACTTGGCAAAGATTTTTTAAATAATATACTAAATATAATATAATTCATATAAAAATAGATATAATTTTAAAAAAAACAAAACAAATATTATTTTCACTTAATTAGTGCGACAATGATATAGCACGAAGTAGACTCGCTATGTTATTACTTTTATGAGTAGCACGTAGCACTAACCTGCATGAAGTAGAGACTGTTATTTAATATGATAATGTAATAATGTGTAATATAAAGAATGTTGCTACATTTTTTTTTGCTACTTTTTTTGTATTTGAAACGAATGTAGTATTGATAGAATGTGTGTGTAGATCACAGTGACCGTATTGTTTATCGTCCTAACCGAAACAGTTTTTAAGGGAGCGTAAAAATTTGATCTAAAAATGGCTAAACTTAAATTATTTCTTAATCTATTGACCTATTAAATGGTTCTATTTAAAATTTTATTCTAATTTAGAGTGTTAAAAGCAGGAGAAATACCGGACTGTCCCGGAAAAATTTAAAATAACAATATAAAATACGTATAAAAAAATTTTATGCAGAAACATACATAAGCTTTTAATTTGAATTAATTCTTTTAAATAAAGACAAAATGAATATATTTTTCTCGAACAGAGTGGTACTGTAATATTATACTAATGACGGGTTTTCAATAGCAGCATCTTTTTCCCTTTCAATGTTTAAAGATACAATTATTGCAAATTAAAATTATAAAATAGAATCATTCAATGCAAAATTGGCACTATTAGTTTGGAGGGCGCCTGCATATTGTTGGCCTAGGGGCATCACTGGACGTATGGTCACCCTAGCCTAGCCTAGCGTAGATATAAAAGACTTTGAAAACAATAACTGAAATATGACGAAAATTTGTACAAAAAAGTTATTACCATCAAGGAGTAAATACCCATGAGTTTAAAAAATGGAAAGTTTTACATAGATTATTTGAATGTGTTAAAAAGTACAGTAGACCCCTATAAAACGGGTTCATATAATATGGATTCGTATATAACGGCGAAAAAATTGCGATCGTATTCGTATAAACACGCTAAAAGAGACTAGTATGATACCGTAAAACGTCATCGCCGACTCGTGTTGTGACAGGATTGGTCGAATCTAGACCAATAGCGGATATTGCACGAACCGTTGAGTTTAAACGAGCAGCGGACCTACTAAAAACCATTTATTATTTAACGGCCGTAAAAATTTATATTTATATTAATGATGTCTCCAAAGTTCAGCAAATTTTTCGCAGAAAAATAATTTATCAGGAAACACGCGCCCGCCGTTCGATGCGCCGCTCCGCGACAAAAACCAGCTTAATCAATGGCGTTGTCGAATGGTGCACACTCGGTAAGCAATCCTACAGTTTTTTGTTTATAGCATAGTTTATATGGATTATTCCCAAAAAAGTATACGTGTTTTGGAAATGCTGAGTCAAATTAGTCTAGAATCGATTAATTTTATGGAAGAAAACCATTCAAACAGCCGTAGTCCGTAAACTGCATACGTGCCGGCTATGATCTGCTCATGTATTTAAGGACGCGTACAACATGAATTTCATAAAACACGGAACGTATCTATCGTGTTATAGGGGTTCTACTCTATTATGATGAAAATGTATACGTACAATTGTCTTATAAGTTTATATATCTGTGTGTTAAGCTGTGCGGTATCTTAATATTAGACACTTTCGATATATTCCATTGCGTAATCTCACTGTAGGTCTGACTGTCTATTAATAAGTATATATATTTTGAAGTATAATTAAGGGAAGTTTTGCATTGGTGAGAAATGGAAATGACACTAAAATGGATAAATATGATCTTTATTGGACTGCAATTTGAAAAAGTGTAGACATAAATTCCCACTGTCTTCCGTCTGTCCGTTGCTTGTCTTTTCTAAATCTCGAGAACGGAGTTTGATAGATGAAAGTCGAGACCAGATATAGAAACCTAAAGAGCAGGAGGCCCCGACTACCGTGTTTCCCCGAAAATAAGACATCCGCAAAAAGTAAGACCTAGCACAGATTTTGCTGAATTGCGAAATATAAGACCTTACCCTGAAAGTAAGACGTAGCAAAGTGTTTTTTAGTCGTAACGGTCATCAACAGATGGTTGAAAGTGGCCGTTGGCTTTTTGAAAGTACAGCCACTGATTGGTCAGAAGACAATTACGCCACACGGCATGATTTGCATAAGACTATGGCTTGGGAATCACAGATTTGCATAACATTACGGCTGGTGATGGCTAATTGGTCGGCCGGGAATCACGCCACGTGACATTTGCATAGTGCTACGGTTCAGTAAGCACTAATTGGTCATCGAGTCCGATGTTGACGCTATAAAAAGGCGACAGTTCGACACACCGGATATACGTCACTCTCGTCTAAGTTCGACTTGGGAATTTTTTTTGTTCAATAATAAATGTGAATTCTTCTTCCTGGAAAAAATAAGACATTCCCTGAAAATAAGACCTAGCGCATTTTTCAGAGCAAAAATTAATATAAGACACTGTCTTATTTTCGGGGAAACACGGTAACTATATAAAAACTTCTGATGCAAACCAGAAATCGTGTTATTTCAGTTCAAAAATTTAATCTTAAAGGTTGATATCCGACACGACTCTATTGTTAAAGGAAAAGTATGATGTACAGGGGCAAGTCACTATTAATTTGAAGTGGACAGAATATATTTTAAATTAAATAAATTAAAAATATGATTAATAATTGTAGCCCGGCGTCACAATGCTCGTAATCATTATAAACTCTTATCACGTACTTGGAATTAACAAAAAGCAAATATATTTACGAACAAATTATGCACATAAGCTATTTTATACTCTATTTCATTTTTCTCTCTTTCCTCCATGTGGATAGTAAGAGGCCCTTTTCGTGAATTCGGCCTAGTCCAAATGGGCAGCCGGGTGATTAGATGATGGACCCGACGTATCCGAATTAACCACCCCAAAAAATTCTTGGGGGTGTTAGATTAGATCCGAATTAGATCCCAAGTCCC